GCGGAAGAGGATGGAAGGCTGCCAATCTCGATCACCGGCACTTGCAAGAGGCACTCGAATTCAGGATTGGGTGGAAGGATCGAAGTGATAGAGGGATGGGCTTCGAGTTCAATCACCGGCACTCGAATGAGGCACTCGAATTCGAACTCGAACCAAGAAGGGAATGGCTACACGGACAAGTGATGAGGAATGGAGGTTAAGACGAGATTAAGGCTGGACACACCGAGCCTAGGACAGCCGCGGACACACCGTCGAGCTTGGATCATTTTTGGACACACCAAAGACGAGAGAAAGAGATAAACTCGAGCAAATTTCATTCAACAACAAGTCTACCAAATTGTGATGTTTACATATGAATTTAAAGAGAGAACAAAGCTTCCAACAGCTAGTGCATTAAATGCACAAAACACATGCAAGACTACTCATAAATGTGCCTAGAAATTGAAAAATGTAGCTGTTGCAATATGTCATGAACTCAGCTCGACTTGGCATTATTTTTGGGCCGAAATCTTGATAATGTGACATCCTTGAGCTGCGCTAAAATGGGCTGGGCTGTTGGTTGTAATGCTCTAGGATGATCCGTGATATGACATTTGACTTTGTATTGATTCATTGATTTATGAATGCATCACTTTTCCCATTATACGATTAGCATGTTTGTTGTATTTCGACATCCTTGAATCATTAGAGAATGATTATAAACTCCCTAGTCAGTCATCGTTGTGGGAACAATGATGAATTAAGACTAGCATGAGGTGTGATCAATGCATTGGATGCAGATCACAATCATGGATACTCGTTGTGAACGAGTGACTGGATGACCAACATGAGATTGTCATATGGACAGAGTCATGACTTGAATCTCATACAGCGGTTCATTCTTGGATCCTCATACCTGAGATGTCTAGAGTATCTGATTTGAGGAGTGACGTGTCTTGACTGCGTCAAACGTCATCTTTAACCAGATGATTATAACGACGTTGATCAGATATGTTCACGAATCATATGGAGATAGTAGACATGCAATATGGGACTTGTCACCTCCTTAACAGGAGAGATATCGTTGGGCCCTCTCGTGGGAAGTCAGACTATGAAAATGCATGGCCACGCTATAGATGAAGTTGCACCTATTTTATTAGTCGATTTGCCAAGACGAGAAAGTAGTTGAACTTGAAGGGTGGCTCAAACCATGCCCTTGTTCAACTTATGATATCGTGAGACAAAGGATCAGAATTCGAGCTGTTAATGCCTTGGTTAGATCATCTCTAACTCAATTCTAAGTGGGTGGTCATGGCGTCTTGCTAGAGACTAACCATGATTTCTGGTTCGGGAAAGGTTCCCAGGGTCACACACCACTTAGAATGGGCCTATAGGGTCACACACCACCGGCGGAACGGGATCTGGAAAATTTCCATAATTCGATTTTAGGGTTTTCTAATCTTATTTAAGTTTGGGATTTCGTCCAAATTTAATTAAGGCCGACCTAAAACTCAGAGAAACATCCTAGAACCCTAGAGAACCTGTTCTCTTCGATTTCTATTGTTCCGGGATTGGATCTCGTCTCTTGAGTTACCCTTTTCTTCACTAATCCTAGCAGATTCGTTCCAAATCGTTTGGAATCCTTCCCGTCGGTGTGGATACGTGTGGAGGGACTGTAACTTCAGTCCTAGGTGATTTAGAACAGGCCCCGGATCGAAATAAACTTCAAGTTTCATCAAGAACGAGGTAAGTAACGATTCCCTCGGTGATATACACGATCTTTCGGGTTTTGCAAGTTTGGTTTGCGTGTGACGTTTGGCTAGGTTTAGATCTTTCTTCCGCTGCATGAAACCTAGTAAACCAAACCCTAGATCGATTTGATCGCATGCTAAGAACCCGTAGAGAACCCAACAGTGGTATCAGAGCCTGGTTCTCTGTATATCGTCGTGCTTGTTATATGATTGCATGATTTTAATCGTTAAATTGCATGTAATCATTGAATCTATGCATGTTTAATGATATTTGTGATTGTTGAATGATGAATGGATGGTACGGAGTCTGGGAGGGGTTAACGGTGCGACGAAATCGAGGCGAAACCCTAATTTCGAAGCCCGAAAATTCTGTCCCGAATCTGATCTGTCCGCGGTCAGCCGGACCAAGTGTTGGTCAGCCGGACCAGTAGACAGATCAGACTCCGGACCACGTTCTGGTCAGCTCGGAGGATAGGAAACAGACTGACTTGGTCCGGAGCTGACCAAGTTTGGTCAGCCCCGGACCAAGCTCAGTTTTGAACTGATTCTGGTTCCAGGTCAGCTCGGAGCAGGAGAAGACTGAGTTGGTCCGGAGCTGACCAAAAGTTGGTCAGCCTCGGACCAAGCTCAGATTTTTTTTTCTCAAAACGGACAATTCGGCGGACCAGTGAAGCTGACCAAGTCAGTCCGGCAGACCAGATTCTGGTCAGCTCCGGACTGGACCTCAGACGCTTCTCAAGTCCGAAATTTTGTCCTTTTTCCTCATGATTAATCTCAAGCTATTACCGCCCATTAGTAGAGTAACTGTCAAGGCCTCGCACTACAAAAAAACCCCAAATTCCAACCGGCAAATCGTTGGAAATGGCCGAAAATCCGTTGGAATTCGACTTTTCCAACGGATTTCCAACGGATATATCCGTTGGAAATCAGTCGTTAGAAACGCAGATCCGTTGGAATTCCGTGGCAAATTCCAAACGGAATTCCAACGCCTTCATCCGTTGGAATATTTCAACGGATTTCCAACAGTTCTTCCGTGGTATATTTTCAACGGAATTCCAACGGATTTGTTCGTCGGGATATATCAACGGAAATTCCAACGGACATCCGTGGCTACTTTCCGACGGGACCGTTAGAAATATTCCAATGGATTTACAACAGTATTTGCCACGGATATCCGTTGGAATTTCCGTTGGAAATGCCGTCGAAATGTTACAACGGTATTTACAACGGCCGTCCGTTGGAATTCAAAATTCTTTCCAACGGCGATCCGTTGGAATAACCGTTGGAAAACACAAAAAAATAAATAAAAAAATAAAATAAATATTTAAAAATAAAATAAATGTTTTATTTATTTTATTTTTCAATATTTATTTTATTTTTTTATTTATTTATATATATTATATATTAATAAATATATATTAATATATATAAATAAATAAATATATATATATATAAAATAAAACCAAAATAAAATTAAAATATTAAAAAAACAATTGTTCGAATATTACAAAAAT